ACCATCTGCGGCATCTGCACATCACGGCATAGTCAATTCCGTAGGGAACTCGACTACTTTTAAAGCTGAGCTCTTTAAACACACCATCACGCCTGGTATAAACACGCCTCTATCGACTCCCCCAGCAACCCCTAGTAAGCCTAAGCATGTGTCTAAGTCAAAAGCAAATCCAATTGCTGTCTCAGCCACTCGGACACCCAATAAATCCAGCACCATTATAAAATCTTTTCCTCCACAATCGGCTAACAGTGCCTCAAATACCCCGACTCAAAACGTAGCGGGTTCGCAACTGCCCCCCAGCCCTCAAATCGAGGCAGTTAAGCCGAATATGTCGATTTTTCCGCCGTTTACTAAAACTCTTGCTCCAATGGAAACAATGCGTCCCCCACCCCCTAACTTGTTTCCTCCACGGCCGTTTTACCAATTTATTCCTCATGATAATGTCCATACTGAATCAGTTAATTCATCCGATCCTCAGTTTCGTTCCGGCGGGAATACGTTGCAGTATCTGCTCCGCGGATTTCCAGCTGAAAATAAGTTAGCTAACAATGGTTACCAGTTTACCTGCCCGTCATTCCCTCCCCCAAGTCCTACCCCTTTGTATCCACGTCAGAAGTTTTCGATGCCACAAAATTTTTGCAAAACCAGATGGTTGCATCCAGACCATTTGCTCCGTGGGCAGCCCAGAACTGGACGATGTAGCCCACCTCCCTCAAAAACTAACAGCCTTTCCCTTCAAACTTTTTGTTTTAAATGCCAGATCCTTGCTTAATAAGATGCCTTTGCTTCAGACTCTGGTGTTCGTCCATTCTCCAGATATTGTTTTAGTAACTGAGACGTGGGCATCAGCCTCAGTAGCTGACTCCGAACTCTCGCTTCTAGGCTATAATTGCATCCGAAATGATCGCCAAGATAGCCGTGGTGGGGGCTGCTGCGTCTACGTTGAGCAAATACTTACATTTTTGCCGTTGGACCTCCCGCATTTTTCCGCAGTAGAAGGCAGCTGCTGGCTCCAGGTTGCACTAAAAAATAAGTTTTCCTCACTCGTTGGCTGCGTCTATCGTCCTCCCAACGCCAACGACAATTTTGATCGTTTACTCTCACAGGCATTTCATGCTGCGGCCGACTCAAGCTTTAAGTATCAATTGGTTACGGGTGACTTTAATCTCACCGAAGTCCGCTGGTCTCCGCCTTCAGGCCCAAGAAGGTTCGAAGACTTTCTTGAGGCTGTAGATGTTAGGATGTGGAATCAGGTTGTTGATTTTCCCACCCGAGGCTCAAGCATAATTGACCTAATTTTCTGTATAGGCTGCATGCCATCGTCGGTGTCATCCCTAGGCCCACTGGGGGGCTCAGACCATGACATAGTTGTTTCAACGTTGGAATTCGAGGCTGACAAAACATCGTCCCCAAAGTATAGCTTTTTCCGCAATTTCCGATCATCTCGCTCAACCGAATTATTAACACACCTTAATTCCTACGACTGGACTGATGTCTTCCTTAGTTCGGATGTAAATGTTTGCACTGCAAATCTGTACGAAATTTTGGATCCGCTTATTTCTCGTTTTGTCCCCTGTAAGAAAATTATTAATGTTGGGGATAAGGTTTTCCTACCCTTGCCCCTTCGTCGCAGATTGCCCAGGTTTTTTCGTCGTTTCCATCTGCAGAACGATGTTTCTGTTCTGCCCTTGATTTGTGATATTTTTGATCGAGATAAGAGATTGTCTGAAGAAAAACAGCTAGCCGAAGTGGTCCAGTTTACCGAAAACCATTCGTTAAATATCTCGAAACTGTTCTCTAGAAAAATACGAACTCATAGAAAAACGCAGCATTCCATCCTCCGAGACCCTCTCGGAAATCCCATAGTTGAGGCCAAGTTAAACGCGGATAGCTTCAATGATTTCCTGTACAAAACGTTCATTGATGACTCGACCACTCCGCTTCCGACCATCCAGCCATTGACCGGGGCAGTTCTAGAAACTATAACTTTCACTCTGTGGGATGGGACTGTTGCGATTCGCCGTTTTCGTCAATCTTATAGTCCAGGCCCTGATGGTGTCCCAGTAAGCATTTTAAAAGCCGATGCAAACACGATCTTCCCATCCCTCGTATGCAAGATATTTAATCTTGCTCTTGAAACTGAAACTTATCCTACCTTGTGGAAGGAATCACACATTTTGCCCATTCCTAAGCGCGGCAAATCTACATCATTTGATGACTTTCGGCCAATAAACACCCTCCCTGCAGTTTCGAAGATCTTAGAGACATTGATCAAGGATAAGATGATGCGTCACTTAAAAATGAATACCATACTGAATGCTGCTGAGCATGGATTTCTCAAAGCTCGATCTTGTGACACCTGTCATCTCTCTTTCTTTGACTATATTCTCCAATCTAGGGACAATGGTTTTGCACTTTACACAGTATATTTCGATTTCACTAAGGCTTTTGATCGTGTTGACCATGCTCTTCTTCTCTTGAACCTGTCCTCTTTCGGAATAGGTGGCAAACTTTTGAATTTTATATTCTCTTACCTGGGCACTCGTACACAACGAGTTAAGATTTCCAATACTATCTCCAACCCCACACGTGTGAGAAGTGGAGTCATTCAGTGTAGTGTACTCGGCTCGATTTTATTTTGCCTTTTCGTTAATGATGTACCCGATGTATTTCCGAATGGTAGGCCTTTCATGTATGCCGATGATCTTAATGTTGCATATCGATATAAGCCGGCAGATCATGACATCGTGCTTGAGCTCCCAAAGAGCGATCTACAGGCTTTCGCCCAGTGGTGCCGCACATGGCGCCTTTCTCTTTCTTGGCATAAGTGCTCAGTCATGGTGGTTGGCGACGACCGCCAACCTCAAGTAAGTATTGAAGGTCATGTCATAAATGTGCCTGGGGTTATTAAGGATCTGGGCATATCATACTCCAAGAGTCTCAATCTCTCGGAGCACTGTGCCTTGATAGTCTCCAAAGCACGCAGAACGACCGGGTTTATCCTCCGAAAATTTAAAACTAGGGACATCAGAATGTGTCTTTACAACATGTACGTTAGACCTGGTCTGGAATACTGTTCGTATTTATTTAGCCTCATACGTGCTACTGAGCGGAAGAAAATAGAATCCGTTCAACACTTTTACCAAGAGAATTTTAACCCCGGATCACCGACATTTGTCTTACCAAGAACGTTGCCGGCTTACGGGCCTTGATCCTTTATGGTTCCGCAGATTACAAAAGGGACTATTTTTGCTATGTAAACTCTTATATAATCACGCAATTAACCCACTCACTTCTTTAAGACATCATATCCACCCACGACGTAACAGTCACCGTGAGGTCTTCTTATTTCTGCCTCCGGCACGTACTGTTAAATATCGTCGGTTCTATTCTGTAAATGCAATTGCTATTTGGAATAAACTATCAATGAGTGTGAAAACTCTGCAAAATTATCCTTTATTTAAGAGAACTATTACTCGATTTTTGCATTCAGAAAAGCTTTATCAAATTTTGGGTTCTGAATCCACTGATTGACTCTACCGTAGCGATGGCGTTTGTGGTCTCTGAACACTATGGCCGGTCTCACCAGCTGTTCCTGAACGCCTCTCCTTTGACTATCCCCAACTTCATGGAAGGAATTGACGTCCGATGATCTCCGATACCATTCAACCCTCTCCCCCCCCCTTCTGGACGGTCAAAAATCTGCCGCCAGCCGTTTTTTTCTCCTGAACCCTTCAAACCATAAAAACCATCATCAACTATATTTTTATTCTTCAAGAGTTTTTTTCACTGCTGGTCGGATTTGTGTTTAATAGTTTCCCTTGACAATGCCTGTAAACTGGCATTTAATAAATTAAATAAAATTAAATTAAATGGCCATTCCTGTCTCCCTTGTCTTTGTCGGTATTACCATTCTGCCTATACATCATGCGGCTGCTGGTTGGGCTCGAGAGAGAGAGCCCTTAAGGCACACCTGAACGTGTGAGTTCCGTATGAACGATCGGAGAACGCCCCCTACCATCATTATATATATATATATATGATGACAGATGGGCGCTCACCGATCAGGTTACGGAACATGCTCGTTCCGCTGTGCCTTGGGGCTCATACTAGAACCCTCGCAGGCAGTCGCACAGCGACTAGTGGTAGATATAGATGAGATGGAGCCGACAAAGACAAGGGAGACCTGAATGGCCATTTCTGGCTTATTAGCCGTCATCAGCCAGTCATACCCAACCCCAAGTGTAGATCACTTGAGATTCGAACCCGGGATCTTTGGTCGTGGAGTCTGACGCTCTACCATTGAGCCACGGACCAGCTGCGCCAGGTGCGTCTGAGCGCAAGTTTGTGTTTTCGGTACCAGCTGCTGGTGGTCAGGGTTATGATTGGCTGAATGAAGGCAAACAAGCCCAAAACAGTGCTGTATCAATCTACCCGCAGACTCTGTCGTCTCTCCTCTGCTATCATAGCTTGGCCGACTTCGGCCTGGTTGGTGGTTGCATGTTCGTCACCCCTATCGTCCATACGAAGCTTGTTTGCTTCGGGAAGCAAATGGATCGGTGTGCGCCCATTCCTGAGTGAATAAATACCCGATGTGCAGCGACAGAAAATGGCAGGTAGCGAGGCACTAATGAACTTCGGTTCGAAGAAGTGCTTATGAGCCATCTGGTAGACCCCAGTGGTGGACCAGCTGCGCCAGATGCGTCTGAGCGCATGTTTGTGTTTCCGGTACCAGCTGCTGGTGGTCGGGGTTATGATTGGCAGAATGAAGGCAAACAAGCCCGAAACAGTGCTGTATCAATATACCCCCAGACTCTGTCGTCTCCGCTCTGATATATATATATATATATATATATATATATCAACATGAGTGAAGATTCGAGGTCCAGATAGATTATCCCGTTCATCATCCCCAAAAGAAGACGAAGAAGAAAAAGAGGCAATGCCATGGACCACACTGTATTGGTGCTGACGTTTCGGAAACATCCTCGTTTCCATCATCAGAGTAGTGGTAGGGTGTTTGTTCCTGCTAGCTCAGAGTTGTTCTGTCTCGCCGCCTGTCTCGTCTTATAGGCATGCCTGCTACAGGAACTCTGACCTGCCTGCTGGCGGGGGATTGGCTTAGGTCTCTCCGTGGCCGACCGCTGGGGCGCTGGTGTGACCTCTGTCCCCTGCCCGGCCGCTGTTGTCGCTGCTAGGTCCGTGGGCCCTTGGGCCCTCCCCCCATAATTTGACGAGCTGGTCAGCTGCCGTTGCATGTGGGAATCGGGGTCGACTGTTTGGGCGCGTCGGTGGGTCGATATCTCGCGTCGGTCGTCTGACACCCGGCTGGCTCTCTCCCCCTGCTGGGAAGGTGACAACTGTTGAGAGAGCCGCGATTTGTTCGCCAGTGCTGTCGGCCCCGTCCGAACTGACTGGAGCCTCGTACGAAGCGCCTGGTAGGCCGGATGAAGATCAATGGCTCTGCTGATTGTGTCAACTGAGGACCAACTTTCGAGAACCAGTCTGGCCATCTTGTCGCTCGCTCGGCCGATGACGCTCGCCTCCCCAAAGGCGAAACTGTGCTTCTCCTGTTGTATGTGGCCATATACCAGTGACAGCTTATCCTCGCGGTTGACTGCAAGCTGGTGCTCGTGCAATCTTGTGCAGAGGCGTTTGCCCGTTTCACCAACATACCTTGCACCGCAATCTTGGCAAGGTATGCTGTAGACCACTGCTGATTGTTCCGTTGCAGGTAGCTGGTCTTTGGGCCTCATTATCTGCTGCCTGATAGTGGATTCCGGTTTATGGGCCACCCCAATCCTAAAAGAGCTCAGGATTCTTGCTGTCGCCTCAGAAACGTTCCTCATGTAGGGGATTGCGAGGCAGAACTTCGGCTTCTCATCATTAGATTGTTCGCGGTTAAATCCTCTTCGGCACTCACGTATGAAGGATCGTGGGTAACTGATCGTGGGCAGCTGATCAGCCCGTCAAATTATGGGGGGAGGGCCCAAGGGCCCACGGACCTAGCAGCGACAACAGCGGCCGGGCAGGGGACAGAGGTCACACCAGCGCCCCAGCGGTCGGCCACGGAGAGACCTAAGCCAATCCCCCGCCAGCAGGCAGGTCAGAGTTCCTGTAGCAGGCATGCTTATAACACGAGACAGGCGGTGAGACAGAACAACTCTGAGCTAGCAGGAACAAACACCCTACCACTACTCTGATGATGGAAACGAGGATGTTTCCGAAACGTCAGCACCAATACAGTGTGGTCCATGGCATTGCCTCTTTTTCTTCTTCGTCTTCTTTTGGGGATGATGATCGGTATAATATATATATATATATATATATATATATATATATAAGAAGATAAGGCGATCACAGGAACCATGGATTTATTTGCCTGACCTTTCGAAAGCAATCAAGCTTCCATCATCTGAGGTGGGTTGCGTACTGCACGTCACAGTATTTAGGGGTTTATTTGGCCGACTGTCCAAACTTGCCTAAATTGTTGGGAGCATCGGTTCCCGATCTAGGTGTCTGTGTTCCGAGTCCACCGTCGGCTGCCGACCCGTGTCACACAAATTGCGGTCGTTGACACTTGCAATTCACAAGCTACTTAGATTTTTCTAAGATTGCATTAATTTATAACGTGCGGTTTAAATTGACATGTGACTACTTCACTAAGCGCAAAGCAAAGCTTTTGTTCAAACGAAGTTCAGTACCAAATAAGGGAAGCAAGGAACGATTAAGTCTTCGCAGATAGCTTGCTCATATAGCTAATATTGTGAACCGCGAGAACGAAGGTGCTTTACGTTTCTAAACTTATTTCTCAGATTATTTTGGCGAGGCGAAAAATCGATCAGAGACGTATGAACGAAATGCCAAAACTCAGATGGACGTGCACGTTCCAGTCGAATTCGAACGACGCCTGCGTATCCATCATGTTCGATGAGGAAATCAAAGACTAAATTTTTGAAGCCGTCCCTGAAATTGGCTGGATGCAGCACTTTTGAACACAATGCCTTCATCATAATTATTGCGACGTAATAGAGTCCCTTCTCTTTCTCAATATCTCAACATCAACTGTTCAAATAGAATCGTGGACAAAAACGGCGAAGGTTTTAACATGTAGTGAATTCGAATTATGCATATGACCAATGGGTCATTCTCCGATCCAGCCTAATGAGCCTGTAAATCTGTGGAAACCCACAAAATATATTTGGTGTGTGTAATTCAACATCAAAACTGTCGAACGCTTTTCTGAATATTTTGGAGTTGAACGATGGCACTTTATAATACGATATGACTGAAAAGAATTCGCGAAAGTCTACAGTCCTTTAAATCGCGTTCGCCGATCCGTCTGACTGTCGTTTACGCAGTTTTAGTCAGTTTATTAAGGGAATGAGGCTTTCGCCCTTGAGCTCCCTATTCATATCGATAAACAGAAATAAAGTCATCAATTACATCAGCAAATGCGAAAAGTTAAGAAGTTAGCGGTAAGTGTGAGCTAGGCGCAAACTGCCGCCGCTAAAACAATCATTATTGTATGTACAGTAGGTTCTCAACAAGTGAGCGTATAGTCTGCACTTAAAGGATTTGACACTTTCAGAAAGAACGACGGCATCAGGGAGTCCATTCCATGCCCCGATGACCCTGTGAGGGAAGGCGTTCCGTCGGACGTCCGAATGAGCCCGCTTCCTTTGCAGTTTGAACGGACGACAACGCAGACGGTCAGTCCGGGCCAATTCAAAGAATTCATGAAAGTCTAGGGCACACTCACGGCTTCTGGCAATCCTGTAGGTTTGAATGAGATCGCCGCGCAGTTGTCTGTAATTTAGTGGAAACAGATTTAGTTCGGTCAGCCTGGTTTCGTAAGGCAAATGATGAAGATTCTTGACCATCTTCGTAGCCATCGCCTGTACTCTTTCCAGTCGTTGATAATCTTTCTTTAACCACGGTCGCCAGGCCTGGACGGCATACTCTAAGTGAGACCGGACGAATGCCCCATAGGTTTTTCCGAACAGCTCCTTGTTGATCTGCACAAATCCTCGCCTCAGCGCAAATAACACCCTTATCGCACTTTTGGCTGCCCTTTGACACTGTGAAGATGGTTTCAGCGAGGAGGTCACTAGGACGCCCAGGTCTTTCTGTTCCACAACATTTGAAAGGGGCTGACCACCAAGGACGTATTGAAAGGAATCGTCCTCCTTACTGGTCTGTCTGGTGCGGAGTCTCAGGACCACACATTTGTCCACATTAAAATTGAGGAGCCAGCGAGTTCTATTAGTGTTGACTTGGTTGCCGGAAGCGCGCAATAGCCGCCAGTTGTTTATTAGATTTGACGGACGTCATGTCTTCATAAGTAAGAGCTTTTGGTCATTCCTTCGCAATTAAACATGTTTGTCAAATTGAGGGCGTGACATGGAAAATAAACAGATTTGCCTAAACTTGCCATCGCTGTTTTAATCGGCGGAAATTCGGACGCACAAGTCAGAATCAAGGTCAAACGTTGCCTGCCGTTGTTTTCTTGTGTAACACCCCAACAGAACTGATGGACAAAAACTCTTGTTTTAATCACGACCACTCTTTTGTAGGTCGATCGTGAGGACTGATCTCCGTGAACGATCGTCAACGGCCGCACCCCGATAAGTTCCATCGTGAACACTTTTCGCTGATCTGTTTTATTGTACAGTTACGCTTACACTGCTTGCTGAATTGTTTTCCAGCCCAGTTTTACTCGGCGTGTTCCACGTGTATCCCTATACTCCCCCGAGTTCTTAACGTTTTCACTCATGAACGTTTTTCTGTTGTTTGTTATAGTTCAACCTTTTTCAGCACGTTTACATAATAAGCTTTCGTTATATTCTTCTTCTCGTACCCAATAAACCGTTGCATTTTCCAATCGTCGTTTAACACTCTCACCGATTTGCGTGACTGTATGTGAGTGCTTGTGTAATGGATATCTTAGGCTCAATTACTTCCGACTCCGAATCCCTGACTAAGAAGAGGAAGCTACACTCGGAATCTAGTGATCTACCAGCCGTACCTTCCCCGAACTCGCGGGACATTACACTTGTTCTTACCATTTTCTTCGGCAATAAATTTCACAGACCCTCATATTTTCTATTACCAGTCAGTGGGTGAAGGCGAATGGTTGTTAGTGTATGGTATGCATGTACGCACGCACACTTACATTTGGCGATCGTTTCACTATAGAACTTATGCATTTGCGATCGATAGCCATATCCAACATTTGCGTATGTAAGGCGCAGTTAATATAAATGTGTTATTAAATTGGATTTAAGACAGTTTTGCTGCAGACCTAGTATATCTGTATATCGGCACGAATGTCTGTAGTATGATTCGCTTATATGTAAGACAACCCAAAATTACCTCGTTCTAGAATGAGGTAATTTTGGGTTGTCTTAAATTTTATTTCATTTCAGTTTATGGGAGCATATTCGCATACACATATAAGTGTGCTTCTACTATTTGCTCTTGAGTTTTCGGTTTATCCGAAATCCAACAGGGATTTTAGCGGCCCAGAGTTGCACCGACACTGTCTGCAGGACGCGCATGATCGTTGTGTCAATTACCAACAACAATAATGAAGTCTCGGATGCTGACGATCTAGCAATCGTTCCGTCAGGTAGGAGCATAGGCAGTGGATGCTGGAGATGACAGTTTTTATAGGTGTATGGTGTCATAGCAAATGTACCCCACAAAAATTGTACCTCCTGTACGTAGAACATCCTTGCCTGTAGCTATCTCTGATGGTAGGTTCGAGTGTGAATGGGAAACGACAGGCAAATGAAGCTTTTGTGCCGGCAATAATGTATCCTTTTCTAAAATACCTGTGCATATGCTGGAAGCACATCTATCCTTATTTTATCTCTCCCCGACGTAAAAGGGCTTACCTACATGAAATTTTAAGCCTCTTTTAAGTCATTTCTTTCTATAGGAGGGAACTACCTCCGGCCTAATGCTTTTGAACCTTATTGGCTTTTGCAGCGTTGCAAGCGAAATGAAATAAATCGTATTCAGAAACCATACTTTTCTTCTAGGAGTTCTGTAGCATGAGCTTACTAGGAGATCACAAGAGAATGTTGTTATGAGCTTTTCTGTTTCATCAAGGAGCCCCGCTAGCCTTCTGTGGAAGCTTTATATGTTAGACGCCTTACTTATCTTCAAAACAGGATCAAGTTTTACCACCCCTAAATAAAAAACGTGCGATCAACATACCGGTTTAAATTTTAACATCTTCCTGGATGTAGTCAGTTCGTAATCTTCTGTCTTTAAAGCGCCTCACTCTTGTCGGGTGATTAGTAAGTTGGCCTTCAACACATTCTGATGTCAGGGTTTATGCGTGTTTTATATTTCGATGTTCATGGCAGCCAATAAAGGTGTACATTTAGCATGTCTCGTTTTTATAACCAGGCTATCATTTTTTGTAAATCGGATTTCCAGATGGTCATAACGGTCTGTTTGCGGCGAAATATTCAGATTTGCGGACGCCATACAACACACAATAAAGGCCGCTCTACCTGTTGGCAAATTCGCTTTCGTTCATTGCGTAAGTTAATGAAATCACATTGAACTATCAGTAGTCTAATGACCTCTCCCGCAGCA